CCCCAAAACCCCAAAACCCCAAAACCCCAAAACCCCAAAACCCCAAAACCCCAAAACCCCAAACAGAAATAATGATATTGAATATATTTATTTTAAAATGGATTCATTGTTTTCATTCCTTTCAATTGGAAGGCTAAGCTAGTTGGTTTTCTATTCAATGGTCCTATCAATCCATGTCTTCTAAATATTCTACCTTATCAGCTTACCTGTCATTTCTGTTTCTTAAGTTTGTATTAAAATGCCCAGTGCCCATATGAGAATCTATAAATGAATGGTATTCAGAGAAAGGTTGAGAAATTAAAAATTGTGTACTTTGATGCATCAAGTTATGTTCGTCTTGTAAAGTTTTAAAAGACTGCAGTTCTTTATTTTCTCCAATCACTGAAAGGTTTATTTTGGGATTTGTATCTTGATCTAATATATTTTGCTTATCTCTATTTGAGGTAGTCTCTAGGGCAGAATTTATCTTCCCATTCCCATTAATCGCATTCGTCACGGCCTTTTTCAGACTGTGGACTGGCTCTGGAGATGGATTTCTTTGGGATCTGATTTGGTTGTTGCTCTCCTCTTTATTTTTCAGTTTTTAGGTCATTATTTTGGTCTTCTCAATTTCATTTTCATCACTTTTTGCCAGTCTCAACTACTTTTGAGATTATGTAGTCCATTTTCTCGTTCAGTTTACCTATACTGATGATATAAAGAATACTGTGAATTGCTTCTTGAGACATCTGTTCATGATTTGATAGGTTTCTTAACAAAAGTTTTTGTTTTCTCTTAAGTTTATCTTTCCTTCTATTTTTGTATATCCTTTTGGATGATTCCTAAGAGATCTGTCAGTCTGCTTGTTTTATATGCTTTAATGATTCTCATAATCCTTAGTATCCCTTGCTGGAATTTCATGAGTGGAGTTGCAACATCATCTGTTTCCCTGTATATATGGAAGTCTCAGTATGGGATTCCATATTCTTCAATGTAATCTTCATGCTTTTGAAGATTAACATCAAGTTCTTCGTATTCTTCTCTAAATTTTTCTACTACCTCGAATCTGAGAATCAGGATCTTTCAACTAGTATTTCAGTTGGTGTTTATCATATGATCTTCAGCTGAAAGAGCACTATAAGATCCTATTGTACTTCAAGAGGATAGGGTATCAATGTAAGAGTTGGAGCCGGACATATTACTTATGGATACTTCCATTTTTCCACAGCAGATCAAGATGATTTCATTACAGATAGTGCCAGCCTTTATCAACTGATAACCTGCTGAAAGATTTGATGTTTCTAGAGTGTAGGAAATTTCGTCAAGGATTTCATCGCTGATTCCGTTATTTTAAATAGTCAACGTTCCTTAAACATTTTCTAGTGAATTTCCTCCAGTGATCGTTGTAAATAGTCTTCATTCTTTTAGAGAAGTTAGTTTTGAGAATCGGAAATTGTTCGAGAAATGTTAAGAAAGCTTGATATTCTAGTGAAGAGCATGTTGAAAAGCTTTGACTTTTGATTGTTGCAGTTCTTTTGCAATCTATAAGGATGGTTAAGGTAAATCATACTTTTGATAATGGCTACTTCTCCAAAGTAATCACCAGTATCCAGGGTTTTAGTGTAGATTGGAGAACTATATTCATCGTTAATGAACACATCTCATTGGCCTTGGGCAATGAAATAAAACTTGTATCCTGGCTCTCCTTGCTTCACAATTTCTTGCTCAGGATAGAACAACAGCAAGTTCATAGATTTTATCATGATTTCAATGGCTTCCTCTTCACCATGAAACACTGGGTTATTCGAAATAGCTTCAATGAATATATGGTGTGTCACTTTTAATTTCAAGCTTGGAGTAAGCATTCTCAAAAATATATTGAGTTCTTCTTGAAGGTCTAAAGAATCTTGTGTGGACATCAAGTACAGCTGAATTTTCTTCTGTAACTCCTCTTCAATGCCGAGTGACTTCATTGCTGAGTTTGCATAATCAAGTTTCTCTTGGAAATTAGCAGCCTTTCTGTTAATTTGTTGAAGTAGAACCGCAATATTACCGAAAATATTTGCATTAATGATGGCACCTGCGAAGACTAAGAACATGGCAAATCACACTTGCATTGTGGTTTGAGGAAACAGATCGTTTCCTGCAAGTGTCAAAATTGAATAATACAGGGATATACAGTATTGGTCAAAGTTACTTTTGAAGAAGAAGTCCTCTGAATGTCTGATTTCATCAAGAGGAGGAACCCATATGTCATTTTGTCTTACAATATAAAACCAGAGTCAAGCAACTCAGTGCAGATAAAGTATTAAGAAAAATACAAGTTTAGCAAGTTTTAAAGACATTTTCATATCATCTTGTAAGTTCATAAATGTGATTAGTTTAGAGAGCCTGAGCACTCTAACAAGTTTCAAGAGACTAAAGAGCTGCAAACCAGAACCTCCTGATTTCCCTCTAAAAAAGATGAGGATGAAAATATCAAATGGGATAGAAGCTAGTAGGTCTATTATAAATCTTCCTTTTAAGTATTGGAGTGCAATTCTTTTAGCTTCAACTATTTCTTTTCCTGTTTTCTCGTTGACATAGGCACTTCTAAAGCCTATGATAAGATCAACCATAAATGAAAGATCAAGAAACCAATTGAGAATTGATATATAAAGTGGCTCATTTCCATCTTCCTCAAAAGCAAGCGTATAAGGGACTTGAAAGCAATTTAGAGTAGCCAAGAGCATGATATATAAATCCCATCGGAGTTTATTCTTATTATGAGCTCTGAAAATGCACTTGAAACGTCTACCAACAATTATCGAGTTGATTTTTGGCGTACTGGAATAAGATTCAGATTCAGAAATTGATAACTCAATTTGGTTATTATTAGCAGCAGTTACTATAGATTTTCTAGCATTTCCTTTAGGTTCTTCTATAACTAAGTCTTTTTCGTGAATAATATCCTCTTCGATTGAAGCCATATGAGATATTTCTCTAGAAACATTGCTCTTGAACCTAGATTGATTGCTTCGATAACTTCTATAGCTGCGATCCTCTTCTTTTATTTGATTTACTCTTCTGCTAGATGCTTTACTATCAAATCAAGGAAGGCTTTTCTGAGAAAGCTGTTGTTTATTTTCCTATAATATTACTTCCAAAAATACTCTTCGTTAGAGCTCTATCTAGTCTGGCTTGTGCCTCTACCATCTTAACAGCACTAATTATTGCTGGAGTTGGGGTATTATCTTTGGGTTGAGATTCTTCTTCTTGATCTACAAGTTTTTCATTAGTCTCCAAATGAGTTCCTGCTTCTTGACCGGGATATATTTGTTCCATTAATTCGTCATACTCAGAATCATCACTATATTCAGGGTAAAATATTATTTTCTAGTGCTAAATTTCTAATGTTCTAGCCTAAAATAAGATTAATGCCAAATATCTATATTATACAAGCCTTACTTCTGTGTTTCGTTCTTTGTCTTTTTAAATTTGCTCTGAGGTCGATCTTCTTTGACTGATTTTGATATCTCACTAAAGTTCCATAACAAAGGCACTTACTTATTACGAGAAAATTCAGAATTGCTTAGTATACTTAACCTTCCAATTTCTTCTTCAAGGTCTATAGATGGCAAGGTTATGAAGGAAGCCATTAATCTATTTCAGAAATTTCGAATTCAAATTAGCTGAATCTGTATCCAATCCTGAAAATAGACTTTTTAAAAGGTAAGTTTTCTTTGATCCAAGAGTTATTTGGAGATCTAATTTTTCACATACCTTCCATTTTAGACTCTTTCTCTGACATTTTTACAAGCAGGGTGTCAAATTATATTAGTATAATTCAAAATATAAGTTAGTAAATGGGGTTTTGGGGTTTTGGGGTTTTGGGGTTTTGGGGTTTTGGGG